TCCACCCTTTGTTTTCTCATATATAAAAGGACGCGTGTATTTTTGAAATAAATAGAGATACATACGCGTACACACCAGAAAGAACACGTCTCTCACTCTAACAATTTCATTGAAAAATTTACTGTTAAGCAACTAAAACGTGTATAAAAATTGGTGAAAGAGTTGACCGAAATCATAAAAAACGTCTTTTGCTAGTTATTTGTTATGTTACTTTTTCTTTTTTCCTAGACTAAATGAGTACGCGGCATAGCACCAATAAAATGTCCACCGTTGTTCCATTGAATAAACCGATAAGGAAAGAAAAGGAAAGTCTTGCTGATGATAGTTGTCCATCATCTAGTAAATCTGAACTTGAAACAAATGAAAGTACTCAGTGAGTAAAAACTAACAGAACTAATAATTATTTAGAGGTCTTACATTATTTTGATTTTTATCTTATGTATAAATTTATGTAGTGAAAATCAATCTAGAACAAGAAGAAATATGTCACGATTAATTTGTCGATTGCTTTTATGTTTACTCTGTCTTGCTTTGGTAGCCACTGCAATAACTATAGCCCTTATTTTAACATTGCGTAAGTACTTATCGATTCAATTCGTAGAAAACTTCAAACTGACGAGGGAACGTCCCAACTGTCCAATCGCTTTTGAGCTGATGTCTTGAGTATATGTGGGCACTCTTGAGACTAGTATAATCCTAAAAGGATTTGGGCCGCTAGGCCCTTCAAGTCGAGTTATATGAATTTTACTGAATTTTGGGCAGTTAGAGGCGGAGGTGAGTGAAAAGTTAAACAAAGGAAATTTGAGCTGACGTTTTTCCCACAAGTAGCCCCAATCATCATTAGAATATCCTGAAAATTTCAGTTGAAAATATTGTTTCCTCACTGTGATATAAAATACTGAAAAAATGTTTGTTTTTCCCGATTCTTCCAAAACGAAATACAGAATGGCGGTTGATTTGAAAATTCAATATCTCAGCGAAGAAATAATATTTTCAACTGAAATTTTCAGGATATTCTAATGATGATTGGGGCTACTTGTGGGAAAAACTTCAGCTCAAAATTCCTTTGTTTAACTTTTCACTCACCTCCACCTGTATGTACCTGCCCAAAATTCAGTAAAACCCATATACTCAAGACATCAGCTCAAAAGCGATTGGACATTTGGAACGGTTCCCTCGTGAGAGGAACAGTTATTACAGGCGGAAAATTTTAAGTATACTGACATCTCTATATTGTCTAGCTTTTCACGAAATGGGACTTTCAATAAAGATAACTGTCAACCGTTATTTGTTATCGTCATTAGTCATTCAAATAAATATCACTCTGAACGAATTAGATTCGATCTCACTTCATTTTTCGAAATTACATTAAAACTGGTTGAAATAGTTCCAATGTCTTTCACGTTTATTAGCTCGCTAAGGATTGTGAAGACAGATTTTATATATAGATGATTAAATACGTTTTGAAATATCGATTTTGTTTCTTCAGGTGACAGTCCAACAATGGATAAAACTTCAACAACAACAACAGTAACATCTGCAAGTGAGTAGCTCAGAATGTAAATATAATAATTATAGAACACACACTGGCCTTGTTAGTTCTGTTAATCATTTTTATGCCAAAAGTCGACGTAATTTGGATGTGTACATTTAAAAAGTGATAAATTTCTTTTACATGAGGTTTTATTATCTTTAGCTTCAACATCAACAACTTTCACCACGTTTACGACAGCTACGAAAACAACATCGTCAACAACGAGTACAGAAAGTACTACAAGTAAGCACATCAGGTTTTATCTTTGTCTCTTTGATAGTTATTTAATTTATTATGTCAGAAAATCTAGAAAAAAACATAAATTACATTATTACAAATAAAATCTTTTCAGTCGAACTAGTCAACTGCTAGTCATTCATGAAGATATTGTTCTTTGTTTTTCAATTGTAAACATTGATGAAAAGCTTTAAATGTCATCTTTTGTTTTCCTTTAGGTTCCACGTCTACAGCGACTACTACTGGTAAGTAAACTATGAAGTTCTTTTAAAATAATCATCTTAAAAATGACTTTTCGAAATTATATTTTTAGCAATCGTTTGCAATTTTACTAACGTTGGACTATTACAAACATTTAGTGCTTTAGCACCGACATCATGGACATCGTACTCGGTTACTTTTATAGCCACATCAACTGTTACCAATCTTCAATTTAGTTCAGCAACTGATCAAGCCAACAAAGATTGGAGTATTGACAATGTTTCTGTAGTGGCCAATGGTGGTATAGGAACTAATTTATTACTCAATGGAGATTTTGAAAATGGTTCATCAGTTGGATGGGCCATGTATTCATGTTCTAGTACATGTTCTGCTTCAATAATATCGTCCACAAATTGTGACGGCGGTTCTGGTTCATGCTATAATAATCAATGTACACCATCTACCAATATACAGTTTCTTGAACAATATTTTATTACAAACATTGGCACTAATTATAATGTTTCTTTTTCAGTACTTAAAGGTGGATCAGGATTAGGTTCAGGCACCGTTATGCATGTTAACGCCATTTGATAATTGGTTTTTATTATATTGAGGAAAAGGTTCGTGCGCCATGTTAAAATAATGATTTTTTTTATATATTTTGTTTGTGTTTTTGATCTGGTTTTGTGCTTATCATAAAAATTTATTTCTTTTTTA